TCATAATATTCGCTGAATCTCCTTCTGACTGTCCTTACAAATCTGACTGGAAGTGGAATGCGTGGCGCGTTTGAATAAAGGCCTCATCAGGTCGCATGCCATGTGCATTTTATTCATGTCTTATGGTTAGTCACGTGGTTATTCCAACGCCATAGTCCCCTCTCTTCACCTCCTAAACAGTTTCTAACAGTCGAGGGAGGTTCTCGTGTGCTTCTCTGAGTTTCTTCCAAAACATGGAAGATGACAGAATGAGTTCCAATCATTAGATAGTCTCCAACGTCTATACAGTAGCGGTCAAAAGTGTTCGCCGAAATGATTTTAGTGCATTATTTTTTCTCGCTTGAGCAACGCCCTCCAAAGATTGATATACTATGTTTCTAGTGTTTTTATATCCTCAAGTCTTAAAGAATCAGGATATTCAAAAGAAAAAATTTTCGAGGTCACCATTGATTTTTTTCTGGAAAAAAAGGAAGCACGAAAAACCGTTTCGGCGAACACTTTTGACCGCTACTGTACGTGGGCTCGAGAAAAGCTGCTTTTTTAGCACTGCAGTTCAAGATCTCATGAGCGACGTCTCTCATGGGCGTTAACTGTCTGTTCTTGATTATACTAGACTTCCGCCAGCAAGCGTCGTGAATTGTTAAGTGTTGATTAAGTGTCTCGAGTCTTTGTTTTTCAGCGAGTAACGCAGTAATAGGAACTTGCCATCGCGTTATACAAACCATTGGTTTAAACTGTTTTTTCCACCTGCACGAGCTTACCGTTATCGAACATTTCACAGCCAATTTGTGGAAACGCCCTCCGTTTGCTTATTGTCAGCAACGTTTCTCGCTTCAGCTTTAACTAAGAAATCATATTTGCTATACCTAAATCGAGCATCCATGTGTAGGGAAATTTTGTTCCTTTAGAGTCTGAGCGGACATCAAACGTTAGTCTTAGCCAAAGCTTTTTCTTCCTGACACCGATCTCGAAGTACTCCGAAAAAAGCTCCGGTGATGGAAATTTCGATTTTTTCTGTCCACTGCAACTTATTAGGTACCGGATATCTTAGTGTCGCTTTTCTGAGTTCAGGAAGTTTTGGGGCCGATTACTATGGAAAATCAATATCTCAGAAAGTCCTTTTTGCTCATTAATACTGCGAAATATGTTGCTTATTGTTTTCTATTGTTGGTTCACAATTTAACTTTCCCCAATTTTATTTTTTTTTGAAAATTCCTGGGTCCAGTGTGCAAATTCGCATGTGTGTACCAAATGCTTCAAAATTCTTGCTGAGAGCTACAACTTCCGCCCACCAAACCAACATTGCATTTGTTGGAGGGAATACTACCATTTAAAATGCTCATCGGTTTTTCACAGTTTTCTCAAAAGACAGTGAAGTCTTTGAAGTGATGCCCGCAATCGTCGTCAAAAAAGGTGGCCCTAGTTAAATCAGTCGAGACGGGGCTGCACCAGTCTTGTGCTGAAATGGTAGGACACCTTAGCAGTGACTGATCGATGATGCACAAACGCTTAACGAAGTTGATTGCACAAGAAATTCTAATAAATGTGCTCATCTGCTACTCACGTGTGCTCAAAAAGGGTGCGTTTTTGACCCCTATGTGGCAAAAAAGACTCCGGGAAAAATTGTCCAGTTGAGCTGGTAAGTTTAACTTTTCCACCATACAGTGCAGACCCTACTCTAACTACTAACTGTATACTTCTTTTGTCCAGGCCTAACTTTTAGCAAGTGAGAGGGATGATTTGTCAGATGATGTCAAAACCGACCTACCTCTCTTTTTCGACTCAAAAAAAGCTTTAATCGTACGAGGTTTCCACTCATACTGGTAAATGGGAAAGTGCTAATGAGTCATTCGATGAATATGCTGTTTCACTCCCCGGATTCTGAATTAAAATATTGGTGGTCCGAAACTCGTGGTGAAAAAACGACACTAAGATATCGGTACCTAGTAAATTGAAACCTAATACTTCCGTTTTGTACTATTACCATGACAACATTTTCGTCAAAGTATCCCACTTCGGCCAGATGAAAAAAAAACTTATTCAGGCCACTCATTCGGGTTATCTATTCGGTCGGTATCCCCTTTTTACTTGATTTCGATATATTGGATTTATCCTTTTATAGGTTACTATTAAAATGAGGATAACTATCGGAGATTATGACTTTATTCTTACCACTCTTAGTTCAACACCAATTGAACTGGACTATCCGACATTATGGATTTTATTTGTTGTGGAGTTTATAGCTATCTCCTTTTCTGTGATGTACACTCCATTTGTGATACGAGTTTTTGAAAAAACTCCATTATTTCACAAGAATCTTATTAGAATATCTCAGGTGAGTCTGACTATTGGACCTATGGAATCATATCTCCTCAAAAGTACGCTTATGACCCCATAATATCCAATTTTGTTATCAGTCTCTTCAGTCACATTCAAACAGCTGCTTCATCTTGTCAAAATTAGATAGTTCTGATGGCCCCACTGTGCAATCAATGAAGCAATCAATGTGAAATCAATGAATCATTCAATGAAATATAGTTATATAGTTGAGGGATAGATCTTTAAAAAAAAGAAGAGACATTTTCGTCAAAGTATCCCACTTCGGTCAGATGAAAAAAAAACTTATTCAGGCCACTTCGGGTTATCTATTCGGTCGGTATCCCCTTTTTACTTGATTTCGATATATTGGATTTATCCTTTTATAGGTTACTATTAAAATGAGGATAACTATCGGAGATTATGACTTTATTCTTACCACTCTTAGTTCAACACCAATTGAACTGGACTATCCGACGGTATGGATTTTATTTGTAGTGGAGTTTATAGCTATCTCCTTTTCTGTGATGTACACTCCATTTGTGATACGAGTTTTTGAAAAAACTCCATTATTTCACAAGAATCTTATTAGAATATCTCAGGTTAGTCTGACTATTGGACCTATGGAATCATATCTCCTCAAAAGTACGCTTATGACCCCATAATATCCAATTTTGTTATCAGTCTCTTCAGTCACATTCAAACAGCTGCTTCATCTTGTCAAAATTAGATAGTTCTGATGGCCCCACTGTGCAATCAATGAAGCAATCAATGTGAAATCAATGAATCATCCAATGAAATATAGTTGAGGGATAGATCTTTGGTTGAATGCTTTCAAATGTTTGAACATCCGTCGTTTTGCAGGCTATATTGCTAGCATATTATCCCAGCATAATAGCACGCCTTGTGTTGTTGCTCAGCGAAATTAGAGTCTTGAAGCAAGAAGGTACGGTATTATCCTTTCTTTTGATATGAAGGTTCTGTCTGACTGTCTATCTTTTGTTCTTTAGCGTCTTACAATTCACAATCACACTTCCTGTGCGCAAAGGAGTCATTCCCGCTTGAAGCAACAGTCTCGGCAGGGTTCTAAATATTTCATGCTAATGGGGTGTCCCCCAACAGGCCCACCGCGCGGCGAAGCAAGAGACGTAGATGCAGCAAAAAGACGAGTTGCAGCTGCGACTCGTCCCTTTGCCGCGTCTGCGTCTCTTGCTTCGCCGCGCGATGGGCCTGTTGGGGGACACCCATGCTAATGGGGAGGGGAGGAGCACTAGCCGTAGCTAGACACATATGAAGTGGACCTGAACAATAGTTCACCTTGGGATGCCGGTAGAAAGGGCAACAAGCGTCGGATCGGTGGGCGCGGGATTGAGGTGGGTGGCACCGAGAGCCCTCATTGCTCAATGGCAAAGGGAGAGCCCCAAAGCCCCGTTCGACGTTTCTCTTCAGTTTTTTTTTACATTATCGGTCAACTTTTCACCTTAAACTCTATAATGAACGATTTTCACCCCGCGAATTCTTCATGGGGGTGTTGCTTCAAATCCACCACAGTTCAACAATAGCGCCGTGCAACTGTAACATTTTCCAACGAGGTTTTAAGAAGCATACCCTTCACTTTAGGATATTCAACAGCTTCATCGAGGATGGGTAGACATCTGTTTTAGATGCTGACGCCGCACTTGCGGTGGCAGCACTGAATAGCTCTTGCGGAGAAGTTTTTCAAATTAAATGATAAAGGTAAATAAGCACCAAGGAAGGCGGTGAACAAAAGGACCCCGACAACAATTTACGATATTTTGTTGTCTAGAATTGGGCATTGGCTTGTGGGACACATTGAACAAACTTCTTTAGCGAGTAATGAAACCCGTTGGCTGTTCTAGCAATAGTTTAGTTTAGTTTAGCAAATCGGGTATCCTTGATTTCAGTGTAGTGGTGCACTAAGGCTTTGTAGGACGGGTTGCAGCTTTTTCAAATAGAATGAAGTTGCGATTTCTTCTGAGGCTTCCTTTACTTCGTAATTATTTGGGTATTAAAAAGGTGTAGGTAACCTTTACTTTTCTATTTTACGCTTGTGAAAGAGATCAAAGGTGTAGCAATTTTTGATGTGATCACCGCAAAAATTTTCACTATTTTCGGATTCGATGATGTCTGAGATATTGAGCTTAGTTGGAGATGCAATTTTTGTTGCTCTACCTATACTACTAACTCAACTGCGAATACTTGATGACCGGTGTAAAAATTGACAGTGCAGGATTGAGACAGCGCCTTCGTCCAGTTCCACATTCTTTTCAGAATACTCCCCCACTGGAGGGAGAAGCTTTTTACGCCCACACGCAATCAACATGCCTGCTGACGATTACATGCCAAGAAGAAGCAAGCCAGTCGCTACTTCAGATAAACTAAAAGCCTTATTTGTACTGCTTAAATAGATTCTGGTGGTAACATTAGAGAATGATCATTGTAGTGAGAGAACCAAATACGTAGAAACCAAATTCCACCTCTTCACTTTCGGAATTGTATGCGGTACGCTCTTGTTACCGTAATTTGTGGCCATCGCGTGTTTACTCTAGCTCTACTCTAGCTTTGTACTCTTCGCCGCTGTCTGAACATTTACCAACATTTGTATAAAACTGCTTCACAGGCGAACGATTGGAATCTTTACAGGAAATCTTTTTGATTCGATCATGATTGTGGTGGCGGGCTTTGTTCGTTCTTCGAGCATGACTGTTGTGGGACTGTATTTGCCTTCAGTTATAATTGAACGAGGATTCGCCTCCAAGTTCATCACTGACTATGAGAATGTTCGTAGATCATGGATCTGTAGAACTATCATCCTTTCAGTTTACCTATTATCAGGAATCTACACTGCGTGCGTTATGCTGGGTGAGGAGCAGTTTCACACCTTTTTCACAGGCACCTCAACGTGCTTTGTTCATAGATGCTTTCCTCAGAAATCTCCGAGAGAAGGGGCTATGAAAAGACGGTTTGAAGATGAGCATTCTTGCTTGGAACACTTCCAAGCCCTTCAGGAAGACCATTTTAACCTTCAACCACTTTTAAGCTTTATAGTTGACGTGATGGAACAAATGAGCTTTCCACCCTAAATCAGAGTCAACCCTGCGTTGCGCAGTTCGCAACGGCACGTTGAGAGATCCTCAACGCACGCTGTATGGGCGGAGACACAGACGGCTCGAGCATGCGAGTGTGAATGTTCGCGCGAGAGAACGTGTCTAATCGGGCGAAACTGCGCAACGTGGCCGTTGAAAACTGCGCAACGCAGGGTTGACTCTGCCCTGAATCCCTCTGTCACATTGAGTAACACCAAATCGCTGCACCATGGAAAAATATAAGGTACCTGAGTAGTACGGGATGTAACCTGATTCTCTTATGACATGTAAGTTTTCCGATTTGTAGTCGTGCTCTGGTGCCCATGGGTGTAATGGATTGAGAATGCATCGGCGGAGAGCACCGAGGACACGCAGAGATGGGTATTATAAGGGCCCAACACCCTATCTACGGGGGACACGTCGCACTAGAATGCTCTGACGACTGACGCCTGCGGCGGACCTGACTTTGGCCCTTTCCCCGACCCGATAGCTGATGACTACTACTGTAGTACGCTAATAAGATGCGTACATATTGCTACATAATAGAACACTACATATTAAGGACATTTATAACTAACTTTACAACGAGCTACATGACTAGAGATAGATGATAAAGGAGAGACCTACGGGGGTAACCGGTGGGATAAGCGGCAGGGTCTGCGAACCGATCCTTGAGCTGACGATGACATGACGACCGAATCCAACCGAGGCTGAAGATCTTCGTAGACGCAACCACTCGGCGAGGCGACAGGACGACGACTGACTGGACTGCTGGCAGATGGGCGCGAATCGAGCAGGGACGCAGAGAGCTTCCCGCGGCGGCATGCGTTTGAATCATGGGAAAGCGTCTGCGTCCGTGAGAAAGCGTAGTGTCTCGTCCTCCATGGCGTGAGAAGTGTGACTGGAACATATCGGCGCATACCCTAGACGTTGAGAAGGTCCTGGCGAGAGTCTCAACATTTGTGACTGAATTGAGACCGTGTTGTGTTCATAGTGAAGTTATTGGGCAGCCTGTCTAGTGCGCAAGGAAGAACTTCACCAGTGTTAGAAAAAAATAACTGTCGGCACCGTTCCATCACCAGAAAGATAACGATCAAAATTCACCGCCTTTAATCACGTAAAGGATAAAGCTTTTGCCGTTGATCAATCCCTTTTTGGGATGCGGCACGCATTCTACTTCCATTTGCGCAGTGGCGTTTGAATGCGATGTGGCCTATACAATGACTTGCGGGGGCCAGCCGATGTACAAGTCAGTGTTTTTATCCTCCCAGACAAGTCTGGTACCAATTAACCGACCCCGGAGGGATGGAAGGCTTGGTTGGCCTGGCGACACACGACCCAGGATTCGAAGCGGTCGTAGGTAAATGTAGCGAGACGCAAAGAAATCCCAAAAGATCGCGTAGCACGCCGCCACTGGGAATATAATTAATGCTAATTCCACAACGATTGCTTAAAGCTGTGACCAAGCGGAAGCAGAGCAAAACTTGTAATTTTTTCCAGCAAATCTGGACTACCACTAATGGAGCAAATTTCACGCTGATTTACCAGCTGTTTTCAGCACAGCACAAGAACCTTTCAACAGCTTGGACCTAACTTCGGTCAGCTCTGTAAAGGGTTTGATAAACGATGTGATAAAGCAAAGAAGCATTGCTCCAAATGGCCTCTGATGTGCACTAATCACACCATGGGCTGATCCAGAAGTGTGCTGCTTGAACACAGCATTCGTTTCGTTTTCCCTAGAAAACTGACCAATTCTTCATGCCATCCAAACGAAAGTTGTTGGTGGTGTTACTAACTCGCAAATTTTGGAGGCTGTGTGGTTGCACGATAACCAGACGCCACTGCTCGATACTCCGCTGTGTGCTCTTGGCGTGGAAATTAACGCCAATCGCAACTCACGAGCCGCCAATTGAGGGAGCAGTGGAGAAAACAACAAGACGGAAGGTCAAAAATCCTAGAAATACATGGAAACTAGAAATGAAAGCTCAACTCTAATGTGCTCAATATTCATCATCTTTTTTGCCCGCTGATTTCATGAGGGGGCAGGTGCTATAATTATAACCGCGTCTTCAGGAGAGGTAAGCACGAGCAGAGTTGTTCGAGTGTTAGTTTCCGGCGCTTTCCATCTTCGATAAAGACCCACCTCTGGTAAATTGCCATCGATCGTTGTCTTTGGCAAGTTTCTGCCCTCAACCCATCCTTTTTCGAGCAAACAAAGATTCTTGCTAACGTTGCCTTTGAGCAATCCTGTTTTTAAAAGCTTGAGTTGAATGGTGCCTAAATATCATGTTTTCAGGATTCATCAACGACATGCTTTTGGCAGCGTGTGCTTCTGCATTTCTACTCATCTCTTGCATAGCCTACGTCTTCCTTTTCCGCAGAAACTTTGCAAAACTACGTGACATAAATCGAGGCGTGATTCCTAAAAATATTGTATATACTCTCAGCACGAAGTTCCAATTGACAGAAAATCTTAAAGTGATGAAGGTAGGGTTTCTGATATCATAATTTCTAGGCTATCCGGCCTGTTTAATCACTACGTTCTATGAATATAGTCACACATCCAGTTTTTCTGACTGTTCCGGACTTGTGACGTTCTGGCGGGACACTGTAAGCACCAGTAGGTCTGTCATGCCAAAAAATCTCAATCTCAGCTAACTCTAGCTATTTGTTTTCTAAGGACCAGCTTTCACTGTTTCACAAATGCAGGTCCACTCATTAAAGATTTTATTTCTTTTCATGCATAAATGAAAATTTTAATACGGGATGGGCAGAGGCTGGCGTCATCACCACGTTCGCCAGGCGTCGTACGCTCCATTCTGCGAACTCCACGAAAACGAGATTTGCCACTAAAAGCGCACCGCATCCTGATTGCGTAAGCAGATACAAGCTCCGCATAATGACGCTTCCACTCACAAATTTCCCAGAAAACCTACCCAAAGATGTTCACGGTGAAGCCCCTATAATGTAAAGGTTATGTATGCAAACAGAGCTCTCAATATTAACACAAGGAACCTATATAAAAAGGAACAATTTTATATCTTTTGTCTTCGAAAAACTTGCTCTGTCTACTCTGCAGAATCATCCTTTTTTGCCCGTTTTTATTTTTATCTTATGTATATTTTATACTAAAATTTTGTACATATTATACCTCTCAGTTCCTCAGATGATTAGCAAAATTGCTGTCAGACTTCCCTAAGGGAAATCCTGGCAATAACGGTGACGGAGCAGGATTGTGCGAGCTACGTCCTCCACATGATGGTAAATTTGACGACCGCGGCAGCTGGACAGCCCTTCGTTAATTGAACTTGTTGGTTTTGTTCCCCTTGTGTTCGGTTGTAGAGAAATGACCATTTGTTTTCTACTCGAAAATGTAGTATTTTCTTGACCAAGAAGGTTTCCCGGATATTATTGTTTTTTTGCGAATTTTTATTGTTGTTTTGATGTTGAAAAGAATTACCGACCGAAAATGAAGGTGGTTACGCTTCATTTGAGCGGTGTCTGGCTTGAAATGAAAAAAATCCATCTTGAAATGAAGAATGTCTACGGTCATTTGAAAAAGATTCAAGTTGAATTGAAAACTGTCCACGGTTCATTGAAAAAAAGCCGGGTCGAAATGAAAAACGTCCTGAGCTATTTGAAAAATCTCCGGGTCGAATTGAAAAATGTCCACGATTTTTTGAAAAACAGCAACTTTGATTTGAACGATGTCCATTTTCAAGTGGAAATGGTATATATGTTGAATCCACTTTCCCCTGAGGTACAAAGAATCTCGTCAGAAAAACAATATAATAGTAGGAAATAGTAGAGGTACAGGTAAAGAGAAAAATAGTATAATAGTAGAAACTAGTAGAGGTATAGGTACAGAGAATCTCTTCAGAGAAACTAAGATACAAACTTGTTGCTTTTCCAAATTGCAACCTTGTATTGATAGTACAGAACTTTGCTTCACCTGTATCACCTGTCGTCCCGTTGATCGTCGATTTGCTCGAGCGGGCGCCAGCAACGTCTCCATTCGTCCCTGTCGCGTGCTAGAGTGGTCCAGTGGATCCTCCTCGCTCGAGGGACACGAAGCCTTCATTCCTTTCGTTCAGAGCTTTCGTGAAGAAGTCTGACCATCGGGCCGGCGGTCGTCCAGGTGTTCGTTTGACGTCCCGAGGGATCCAGTCGGTAACCGCTCTGGTCCAACGGTCATTGCAGAATCACATAACGAATGACGTTTCCGCCAAGGAATCGGAGGCCCATCGCATCGAGGAATCACAAAATCGCATGACGTGTCCGGCCCACCTTATCTTCGATTCCTTGGCGAAAACGGCAGCGTCCCTGATCTTCGATCGTTGGCGTAGTTCGGAACTCCGGATTCCCCTCTGCACTTGCGTGTATAGGGTTACTCCTAGCATCGTCCTCTCGACAGCGCGTTGGATAACGCTGACCGCATGCTCGTCCTGCCTGCGCAGAGTCCAAGTCTCTGAGGCGTAGGTTAGGGCAGGAAGGACAGCGGAATCGAAGAGGTGGGCACGGAGCCGGATGTTCTTCGTCTTCTTCACTACTCCCTCGATGTTCTTGTACGCTCCCCAAGCCGCTCGTTTCCTCCTGCTCAGCTCTGGAGCTAGATCGTTCATCATATTGATTTCCCGACCTAGGTACACGTAGCTGGAGCATTCGGTGATGTTCGTTCCGTTGAGCGTGAATGGGGCATCAAGAACCGGTCCATCAGGTCCGTTCTCATGAACATCGTCTTCGTTAGGTTCAGCTGCAGACCGACCTTACCACAGGCGCAGTCGAAATCAGCCAGCATTCGCTCCGCTTGCTCGATGTTCGGCGTTATAAGAACGATGTCGTCAGCAAAACGAAGGTGGTGTAGTTGCCGGCCGTCGACCTTCACTCCCATGTCTTCCCATTCCAGTTGACGCATGACGTTCTCGAGAGCGGCGCTGAAGAGTTTGGGCGAGATGGTGTCGCCCTGTCGAACCCCTCTCTTGACGTCGATGATGACCTCCTTGTAGAATGGTGAGATTCTGGTCGTAAAGTTGCTGTAGAGCTCACGAAGAATCTTGATGTACTGAGTAGGGACGCCCTGGTTGCCCAAGGCTTCGATGACCGCTTCTGTCTCTTCTTCAAGTCGATGAACGTGAGACAAAGCGGCATCTTGTACTCTCGTGAAACTTCAATGAGTCTTGTAACCGTGTGGATATGGTCGATCGTGCTGAACCCTCTTCGAAACCCTGCTTGCTCGCATGGCTGTCCTTCATCTAGTATTCTGCCGATCCTGTTAAAGATGACTCGAGTGAATAGCTTGTAGATTACAGACAGCAGGCAGATTGGGCGATAGTTGCCAATGTCGTCCAAGTCTCCCTTCTTGTACAGCAACACGGTCCTGCTGGTTTTCCACGGAGTGGGTACCTTGCATTCCGACAGGTAGCGCGTGAAGAGTCGAGCCAGAGGGCGGTGCATTATTCAGATGTTCCGGTTTAAAATTTGCTGACAGGTCAAATAGGTTGCCAACTCGCTACGAGCACGCGTAACTGGTAACCAATGTGGACTGCCATCGGGGTGGAAGTGTTGGAGTAAATCTCGCCGCGTAATGGTTCTGTGCGCGACCTCATTTTATCACGCTATAGGCAAATGGATTGGGTTGTTCTGGAGACGAGTCCATATGTAAACGAAAAACAGAGGTCATCTTATTCAAGGAGCCAGAGCCAACACTTACGCAGTTCCTGTGCTGTGCGAATTTCATTCAGCGACAGAATAATCCTGTTGGGACACTGAATGGAATGTTTCTGGTTTTGAATGATTTTGAAAAAAATCGCAGAGTGTTGTGTTCTGCATTTTTGACACGTTACTACGAAAATTCTTTGCCCGCTAAATTATAACGCAGCCAGTTCACAGGCAGTCAAAGATGCGTCATGTACGATGCGCTCTCAAAAAATGAGATAACCCTTAACCCCAATTAAAACCTTCGAGCGCAAAGCTATTTTCAGATTTTGATGCGGTTGTCAATAGTAGAGGCCGTGAGTGCTCTATTTGTGTGCCTGTTCTTCGCATTGGCAGCAACTACGTCTGTGAATCAAATAAAGTGGAACCAGATGTGTTGGGCTCTCATGAACGTCTCATTGGCAATGTGAGTTAAGAAGAGCAGCAGTATTGTTAATGAGTATTGCCGGTGCTTTTATCAAATAGGATTTTTTAGATCGTTCGATGTTTTTATTGTAATCTTCATGAACTCTCTTGGACTGTATCGTTTTCGCTCAATTGTACCGCTAAGCTCAAAAATCGGAACAGATTTGAAAGTGCCGGCAACAGACGAACATCGCGGAGCATCTAATACCTATTTTGATCAGTTGACCAGCAAATGGAAGATATAAAAGGATTCATGTTCAGAAAAGATTCAGAATTCAGTCAACTGATTTCTCACCGTGTATGGTTGAAGCGATTCAACAGTTTTTACAATTTCAATGTAGATTTCTACAAAGTCGATAGAATTGGTGACACACTAATCCAAAGACAGGGCATGGCTAGAAAGAAGTGTATACTTTAAAATGAGCCTTGGAACCAGGGCCAACAATTTGAATGTGAAAAGACATGGCTATGTGGCAGAGGAGAACGCACTCTAAATTACACTTGCGGCTACGCACCACGTACGACTGAATGGCGCATCCCCGAGCGAAGTTTAATAATGGTTACTAAATAAGACGTACTGTACCTCTCATGTTTACGTAAACAAAACGTACAGTACGTCCACTAACCACTCCTAACCACTAACTGGAGTGAATTGTTTCGCTCTTGCGGTGGTAGACTGGTGAGTTTATTTCCCTCGTTCAGGGTTTTCGCGTTATTATCCCTAATGTTCCGTCAGAAACGCTAGGGAGGAGAGACTTTCGACGGTGTAGATGGCATTTCTCGAACTTTGAGCCACGTCCAAGCCTTTGAGGACGACGATTGGCGCAACTCAGGGCGTTAATAAATCTGTCACCTGGAAACCTCGTTGGCAGTAGGAAAACACAGAAACCAACAACGATGCCAAGGTTCTATGAAGAGAGTACTTGGAGATTATCAAAGCTTGGAGGGTTCCTGAAGTCAAAATCTCCACGATCACTACCTTGTCTAGGTTTACGCAAAAATTTTAGAATTACTTTCATGAATAAAATTTCATGTTGCCTCGATTCCTCCTCTGAGCGAGACAAAGCGCGCGGATTGACCACGGTCCACCACTTCTCCATGTTGGTGACGGCCCATACATGGATGATGGGCATTAAAAATATGTGAAAGACCCAATAGCCAACACGTTGAATCGTACTGTTACTCTCCGGAAGGGGAGTCGTAAAAATTCTGAATTCTGCGCAACATACGATTGACCCTGCTTGAATCGTGGTCGGAACTCACAGGTATGTGCGTCACGTGGAGTGGAGGACTCCTCGTCATGATTGCTCTTTCGCTCATTTAGGCAATATGGTTGAAGTCTTTGACAACATGTGGGATTCTTCTGT